TTCATCATTTATATACAATTTCACCATTTCAGAGTTATATTTCATTTTTCCAGAAAATATCATGAAGTTAGATTTTTTTCACATTTAAACCATTTTGAATATGCAAGAAGGCCATTATTTACTTCATTCATGAGTTCTGACAATTTTTTATTTGAGACAAGTAAATTAGTGTCATCTGAAAATAATAATGGGCATATTGTGTTAGATACTGTTGCAAGATCGTTAATGTATATGAGAAACAGTAACGGTCCTAAAATGGACCCTTGTGGGACCCCACACTGTATCATAGTTCTCTCAGACTCTACTCCATTTATGTTGACATACTGCTGTCTGTTATATACATAATTACTGAGCCACTTCAGGACATTTCCATTAAATCCATATCTATATAGTTTAGCTAGTAAAATTTCATGATTTACAGCATCGAATGCTTTAGAGAGATCCAGAAAAATACCACATGAAAACTCTTTCTTTTCTAATGCAGATGGAATCTTGTCCACTAGTTTGAATAGGGCCATATTAGCAGAGTGATTTTTTTCAGAATCCATACTGGTGTTCATACAGTATATAATGCTTGTTCAAATGTTTGAGGATGCGTTTATATACTAGTTTTTCTAATATTTTGGAAAAGCATGGAAGAACTGAGATGGGACGGTAGTTTGTAAAATGTCCTGGATCACCCGATTTTAAAAAGTGAAATAACCTTTGCCAGTTTAAGATCAGAAGGAACAGTACCAGTTTCCATGGACATCGTAAAAACATGCAACAGCGGTTTCAATATTGATCTTTTTTACCTGTTTAACAAGGGTTGCACTAATGCCGTCATGTCCCGGGGCAGATTGTTTTAGCTCTATAATAGTGTCATTTATCTCATTACAGTTAAGAGGTTCAAACGAGCAAAATGATGGAAAGCTACCTCTGATATAATCGGTTGGACTTTCATTTGTGTTTCCAAACTGCTTAGAGATGGAAGTTCCCACATTCACAAAAAACTCATTGAATTTGCAAGCAACATCGAAACGACTTGTGATGGATGTTTTCCCATCAGAAGAACTAAGCGGAAAATTTGTTGATGGGTTTTTCTTTTGGAGTAGCTGATTTATAATTTTCCATGTAGCTTTGATGTTCCTTGCAGAATTCTTGAACTGCTGACTGAAAAAGCTTTTCTTGGCTACTCTATGAAGATGATTATATTTATTCTTATACAATTTATAATTTTCTTGATTACATATAGATAGTACAAATGCTCTTGTGATACTGATTTAACCAGCTAGAACTTGGGTGGCGATGAAGTCTTAAATGTATGGAAAGGGTTCTAAAACGGTATTTGAATTAACTGAAGTATTTCTGCATAAACCATTTTATGTGCTCTGACTTCTCACTGCCCCTCTTTGCTTACATCCATCAGGAACAGACCACCTTCATCTGTGTGTGTATTGCGGAGTTCCTCTCTCTGTATGAAACAGAGCGTCTGATCCAGGAGCTGGCCAAGTGTCGCATCGACACACACAACATCATTGTGAACCAGCTGGTTTTTCCTGACTCAGACAGGCCGTGTAAAATGTGTGAAGCCCGCCATAAAATTCAGTCCAAGTATCTAGACCAGGTGAGTCATGGGTCACTGATTTCTTTCTGTATGGTCCCATTTCAGCTGCTTTGTTTTCATCTAAAGTCCCATGTCTTTGTCATTATTTTTTATTTTCTGACCTCTCCATACAGATGGAAGACCTTTATGAAGATTTCCACATAGTCAAGTTACCGCTGCTGCCCCATGAAGTGCGAGGTGCTGACAAGGTCAACACGTTCTCAAAACAACTTCTGGAACCCTACAAACCCCCAAATAAATGATCTCCCTTCGTACAGGATGACCCCTACAGACCACACCAATACTATTAATATTCACCTCTTCTGAGCCCTCCCCAACCAGCCTCAAATCCTGCAGTACCAACCTCAAGTTTATCCACTCAGTCCTCAGCCTATCATCCAAAGCAGAGCACTGCTACAGCAAGAGACACGTCGTCATTGAAGGGGAGCTGATGAAATCACACATTAACATAACCTGCTCTAATGTAAGAGAAAGGAGACGGTACAAATTAGTGCTGCTTTGCTGTGTTTACCTTCTTTGTCATTCATATCCTCTGTGTGGCCGTTGTACGATTCCTTAAAAAGCATCAAAGCATTTAACTTTTTCTCTACAAAAAGTATCCTCTTCCTCCCCTTCTTTCATCCTGCGCAGTGTCTAGCCTGAGTTGTGAAAGCAAAATGTTAACAGTGAAGGTGCTTTGAATTTCAGGATTAAACTGCTTTCAGATGTTGATGTATGTAAATGACTTGTTTTCCGGTGTGGTTTGGTGGCTGTCTTTTCTCTAGTTTGATTTTTGACTGAGGTTACTTAAATATTCTATTCAATCTCAAATCAGAAATTGACATGATTCTTATTAAAGGTTTAGTTAGTGATGGCTAAAATGAGCGTTTACTTCAAAAACAGGGCCAAAAAACAACAAATGATTGTCCCAAGACATTAATTCCCAACCATGACCATCCTTATAGTGCAATAAATAAAACAAGAGCAGTCTGAATTCTGTTTTTAGCATATGTCAAAACCAGTTCACTAAATCTAACTCTTTATCTTGGTGTGAATGCAGTAACTTATTGTCAGGTTTGTTTATGTACAATTGGAATGTTAAATTCTATGGGATGAACTTGACAGTCTCTGTTTTAGTGCACTATTGCTACTTCTGGTAGTATGTGACTAGAAACAGCTTGAGTTTTTGAGATTTTAAAGGCAAATGTGTGACATGACTCTTGATACTGAGTGACTTAATTATTTTTTGCTGACACATCTAAACCCTGGTATCAGATTCCTTTACTTACTCTTTAACATTATCTGTCCATCCTGTCATCACAAACTATATTGGAAAACTATTTAAAACATTGGTAGCCTTATGTAGTGCATTGTGAATAAAGAATATATTGAATGTTGCTTGGAACAAATGAATGATGATTTCAAGGAAAGTCAAAGCATCTTTTCCTAATTGATTGAGTACTGGTTTGTGACTGGCTCGCCAGATGCCTCATTATCCTCCAGCAGAAACATTCAAATGACCGGTTGATACGCAAGAAAAACACATGTATCCCCTCTGGTTATGATTGCTTTTGAGACCATACAGGAAACTCTTTTTAATGGATTTAGTTTCAATTTTGTTGTATTAATTAAACAGACTTGCTTTAGATGATAGCGTTTTGTTGTCATTCCTTTCATCTATACACTGCTTATTTCCAACAAATCAAATTAACTGAGGAGAAAAAAAATGAAACTAAGTTTGTTCAGTTATCAAACTGACCAGACTGCAGAAAGTCTCTTTGAGAGGACAAAGGCTGCCTTAATAACCCACTCTGAAGTTAAGGAATACCCTTTGTTTTAAATCAAACCTTCATTTGATCAAGATTGTATTAAATGTAACATAAGTGGACAGAAATACACTGTAAAGGCGATTTGTCATAGTTACTTAGTGTAAAAGTTGTAATTACTAGATATATATATTTTTTATCTCAAATAATATAACATTTCCCCACTTTTATGTTTCAGATACACCCAATAATATGAGTCAAAAATGAATACCTTATAATAAAGTTGACCCAAGTACAAATATATAAGAAAAAAATAACATCTGAAGTTCTTCAGCATTACAGTTTGCAGCCCTGAATTAAAAGGAAAATCAAGTTAAGTACAGTGAACTTAAATATTACCAGTTAGTGTTCAGGTAAGCTCTGTCGGTTTTGAATGAATACAATATCGCAAATTCAGCCCAGACATAACGTTTTTAAGTGCTAATAGCTAGTTTTAAATTTTGTGTTCATTTTTACTTTTTTCTTTCTTTTTTTTTTTTTTTTTTACAGTGTATACTACAGCTAAAACTGAGCCACACTTTATGGGTTTTTATGGCCCCTGCGACCACCGGATGCTTAAATTATCAAACAAGTTATTTGGAAGTCTTTGACTCGTGAATAAAAAGTTCCCTTTTGAAAAAGATGCCTTGGTGGGTAATCGCAAGGTGAACAAATAGGGCTGTAAAGACCCACTGGCATTTGTTTCTAGTTAAAGAAGAAGAAGAAGAAGAAGAAGAAGAAGAAGAAGAAGAAGAAGACAAAGTGACAATAAAGCATTTTACGCCCACTGGGTTGCCTAAGTGAAGGGTAGCCTATAGGCAGTCTCTTTGGTCGTTATTTAAGCCGCAACATGTAGCCTATATAAACTTGTAATCGGGAGATTGGTTGTTGTTTTCATATCACTTAACACGAAAGTTTGCCATGCTCCACTTGCTCCTGTTTCATAATCTCTACTGTACTATACGGTCCTGTGCGCTCCTTGTGCCCCGGCACTGCGGCCTGTCGCTTGTGGTCCATCACTGAGCCGCGCTGTCCCGGTCGGGGGCCGCGCTAACGAGCTCCTCCTCCTCGTTTTGGGGATTTACCCCGGGGCGCACTGACCACTGGACGCACCGAGGAGGCTCCGAGGATTACTGCCATGCAACCAACCGAGCCTCAAGTTAACGGAGCTGACGCCATGGGATATCAGAGTTATGAGCTCTTTGTAGAAACACCACTGGTAAGCACATACAGCAGCTCAGAGAGCAATACACTGATCAGTGAAAATGTGAATCCACTTCTCCAGTGGTGCCAATTACGCACAGTAGTACGCTGAGCAATTGGAATACCATCAAGAAAGACCACGGCAAAAGGTAAGGAGAAATTAATTTAACATTATTTATTGAAAAACAATATAAAAGTGTGTAATTCCACACTATGTAATTACACGGTGTTATTATATCTGTGTAAGAAATGAAGTTCTAAATAACTAGAAAACTGTTTTAGATTGTTAAAGGAACAATTCATGGCCTCAATTCAACTTCTCACTTCAGGTGTCACAGGACAACTGTTGATCTTTTTCCTTTTTCTACCTACAGCTCTTTTATTGACGACCCACCTGGCTGTTACCAATGACTGTCACATACACAGCCAGGGTTGCAAATGCCCGTTTTTGTGGCTTCTCCAAGCTGCTTTTGGCCTGGAAAGGCAGCATCTACAAGGTGCTGTATAAAGAGTTCCTGGCTTTCTTCGCCATGTACACCGCTATTAGCATCACGTACAGGTAAGAATGAAACGCCAGCTTCAGGACTCGTTGGCTGCTTACACATTCATTTACAAATGACTGCATATCGCTTTTACTCTTTTAGATCTTTCCTGTATGATGACCAAAAGAGGTATTTTGAAAAGTTGGCAATTTATTGCAACCACTATGCCAGTCTCATCCCCATGTCGTTTGTATTGGGTAAGCATTAATTATGTCCTTGTCATCCTTTGGATGATAGAAACAGAGTGTGCTATAGTTTGCCATGGATCTTTGTTTAATGCGATGTTTGCATGTTTGACTTTGGGACTGTATGGATGGTTATGACTCTCTATATGCCACAAACTTTCCATTGAAAGGATCTTTAGCTCAAAACCATTTTTGTATTAGGCATATGAATAATTTTAAAGATTTATTTTTGGGCTTTTTGTGCCTTTATTTGAGAGATAGGACAGTGGATAGAGTCAGAAAGCAGGGAGAGAGAGAGAGTGATGAATGACATGTGGGAGCCACAGGTCGGATCCGAACCTGGGCCGCCCGCTTGGAAGACTACAGCTTCCATACATGGGGCGCGCGCACTAACCACTGCACCACTGCACCACTGCACCACCAGCGCCCCAGGCATATGAATAATTTCACCGTGTATGATGACAAATTTAGCATTTAGACTACTGATAAGTTTGGATCTTGCTTATGGCTGAGGTTCATGCCAAACCTATCATTTAGGATACCAAAAAAAAAAAATCTGGGCAGGATTTCTATCAAAATGCATTTGGGCATGTAAATCAACTCAAATACTTCCCAAATGGTGAACATATACAGATTGGGATAAAGAATATCTTACAATATTGACTGTCTTATAAATCATTTTGGCTCAATAACAGAAGTTATGTGACAGTTAAGCCTAGGCCTTTTATTTTTCATTTTGCTTTGGGTTTCGTTAGACTCACACAGGAAGCACAGGTTTATACGTAACAACAATTAAAAACACCTAAAGCACCCACATCTGATTTGAGCTCCAGAGTAACCTTGGTGTCTCCTCTGCACCTGGATGCGCTTTGCAGGTTTCTATGTGACCCTGGTGGTGAACAGGTGGTGGAACCAATACAGCAGCATCCCGCTCCCTGACAGGCTCATGTGTGTCCTGTCAGGGGGCCTGCAGGGAAGCGACGAGCGAGGCCGCCTGCTGAGACGAACCATGATGAGATATGCCAGTCTGTCGGCTCTGCTCATCCTCCGTTCCGTCAGCACGGCCGTATTCAAACGTTTCCCTACCATGGACCACGTGGTGGAGGCTGGTGAGTAAACACGATGACAGGGGGGATGGGGTGGACAATCCTCAGCTAGAGAGTGAACTATGGTCTTATACAATTGTGCAAGGAAGTTTTTATGAACAAAACTTGAGATGAATAGTGAATAATGCTGTTCGCGTTCTCTCTGTCATATTTAAAAAAATGTATGTTTAAAATGTAACATTATCTTTTTTTCACGTTCCACTCAGGAGAATTGATAGGAAGTGTTGAAAAAAGAGTGATGTGTGATCGGTCACACATTCATGTCATTAGTGTGTGCTGTTTCCTGTCTTGTACATTCACTACTCCAGAGATAGCAGGAGAAATCACAAGGACAAGAACACCCTGAATTATCTTGAGATAAAGGTTTATCATGCTGTAACAGGAAGATAAGACGCTGGTGTCCCAGCCTCTCTCCACTCTTTTCTAAATGAGCTGTGTTTTAACTTTTGAAAGGTTTTAAAAGGTTTCCAATTACATAGCATATTAAAATAAGCTTTTTTTTTGTAACTGACTGAGCTATCGTGTGTTTTCATAGCTAATTTTATTGATGTCCACTTACTAATTAATGACTCATTTTGTATTACACTTCAAGAAAAGATTTTTCCAACTAAATGATGAATCATGCATAAGTTTGAACCAGTGCCCCTTTCTTTCTGTGAATCATAATCTATAAAAGAACCTGAGGTGTGCCATATCTATGTGCTGTTTGATCAGGATTCATGTCGAGAGAGGAAAGAAAGAAGTTTGAGGGTCTTCATTCTCCTTATAACAAATACTGGATCCCCTGCGTTTGGTTCACCAACCTGGCAGCTGTGGCTCGCTGCGAGGGCCGGATCAAAGACGATCACACGCTCAAACTACTCCTGGAGGTGCAACATTATACGCTAACAAACACATACACATGTTAGAAACTAAACATATAGAATTACAGTTGTGGGTGTTTTGATTAAAATTCTGATTTAGATGTCAATTCAACAAGATTTAAAAATAGAAGACAAGAAGAAATGCTGAGAAGTGACCTCAGAAAGTCTCTCTTTGTGTACCAACAGGAGCTAAATGCATTCAGAGGAAAGTGCAGCATGTTATTCCACTACGACATGATCAGTGTTCCCCTAGTCTACACTCAGGTAAGTGCCCTCCTGCTTGAGATATTACTTAGTTACACACTACCGTAAACATATATTTGATCATATTGTCATCTTCAGCTTTAGGCTGATGTAGTTATTCTAATGTTTTGTTATTTTTTACATTGGGACCACAGACATGTGTTATCTCTTCTATGCTTTTTTTCTCATTAAAAATAGATACAAACAAAAAGTTCCTCTTATGAGCTTTAAAGTGTGTAGAGCTGCATTGTCCTTTCAGTAAATAGTTGTTTTAAGTATATGGTATGATAGTTATGCTATTTAAAAAAATATATTATTTATGTTAAAAACGTAGGCCCTGAAAGACCGAAGCCTTCTAGGTTCTAATAGCATTATGAATACTTTATTTGTGATGAATAATGTATTTTCTATCAGTTTACAATTTGCTCTGGTTATTTATACTCAGGGACGGAATGGGACTCATTTTCAAACTGAGAGTGTCACAGCTCAGACCAGCCCACTGGAGAATTTGAGCCTTACTAGTGTATTAGTCTGAAATAGGTGCACTATTCTCTTCAACCTTGTTATTTATCACATTTCTAAAAATCAAATTTCAATTTCGATGCACGTGAGTACAAGTTCCCAACTAACATTTCTTTGAACAAATTCAGTAATGTTGAAGATGATCTATGTAGTTTCGGTAGAGAAATGTAAAAGTTTTACAGATTCTGTGGTATAACTCTATACACAAACTGTCCTCAGAGGAAACTTTGGTCCCTGTAACACTGTTTGAAGATAAAAAGCTATGCGAGACGTTACAGTGGGTGGTCCGCAACAGTGAAACAGTAACTCTCCTGGTGACTTTTAAGCTCCAAACAGTGTCCAGGGACCCTTTTTTTTTCTTTGAATAAAGTTTGTGTATTCAGTTCAGAAAATATAGCATAGAATTGTTTCCCTTCTCCAACTTTCAAATTTCACAACCAAAATTCCATAGTGCACCTTTAAGTCATAATAAAGAAATAATCAACCTAAATTCTGAAATCAATTTAATGCACTAATGTGTGCCTTTTAGTCTTTTTTCCTTTTTTGTGTTTTTTTTCTTCAAATCTCTTTACAGACACATCTCACAATAAAACATGCATGTATTTTAATACTTATAAACATGCCGATGCAGCTCTATCCGTCTCTGTCTTTCTGCATTTCCCTTTATCCCACTTATCCCAAGCTCAACACGGTTTCAGCAGATTGCTGTTCAACATGAGTCTGGTTTTGCTCGAGGTTTCTGCCTCTTAAAGGAAGTTTTTTCCTCACCGTTGTAACTTTGCTTAACACTGCTTAGTGCTGTGCTCATAATGTATTAATGTTGTGTCTTTGTAGATAATATAACAATGAGTTATTGTACCTAATCATGCACCAGAAGTCCTGTAAAGACACATCTTTACAAGTTGCACTGGAGAAAGAACAGGAGAAAATATAATTATTAGAAGCTGAATTCCATTTTGCTGCTTTAGTTTTTCTGAATGTGTCATCTGCATACTGATTAACTGTCACGCTGAAGGCTGACTGGAACACTGAAATAGACCTGAGAGACCTGACAGAAAAAAAAATAAATACTGACTCAATTCCTCCCACAGGTGGTGACTTTAGCGGTCTATAGTTTTTTCTTGGTGTGTCTAATTGGTCGTCAGTTCCTGGACCCCAGTCAAGGCTATCCAGGTCATGACCTGGACCTTTACATTCCCATCTTCACTCTGCTACAGTTCTTCTTCTATGCTGGGTGGCTAAAGGTCAGAAGGATGGTCACATATTGTATGTTTTGATATCAAAGCACAATTCAAAGATAGCAGTAAGACATAGCAGTGATTTATGAAAATCTGTCTCCGTTGTGGTTTGAAGGTAGCAGAGCAGCTGATTAACCCCTTTGGAGAAGACGATGATGACTTTGAGACCAACTGGCTGATAGACAGAAATTTCCAGGTTTTTTTTTTGTTTTCTGTCCTCCCTTATTTTAAAGTTGTTATAAGATTCCCTCTTTGCGTATTTGTTGAAACGTCTTCCAAGAAAAAGTCACTAAAAAAACATCTGCCATATTGAGATCCAATATGAGTATTGTGAGATTATATTAGGCACTGTAAAACCTTTTACCTTGTTCCACTTAATCATGATTTTTTTATGTCAAATCTAACTTTCCCTATGCTTTCCACGTGGATACTTTAATCTCCACAGGTGTCTATGATGGCGGTGGATGACATGTATGGAGATCTGCCGATGATGGAGAGAGATCGCTACTGGAACGACTCCAACCCCAGACCCCCCTACACTGCTGCCACTCTGTTTGTCCTCCGCAAACCCTCCTTCCAGGGGTCCACTTTTGACATGGCGTGAGTTTCTGGAGTTTACTTTCTCACACAGCAGTCCCTCGTCTTGTGACTGTGACACTTTCAGTTCGAACCACCCTGATTGGTGGGGAAATTTTGGTGATGAAAGTCAAAAATAATTTTGCTGTGATACAATAAGTGCTACAATAAGTGAAATAATTGTGGTTGAGTAAAATGTCTAAAGACAAAATCTGTCAAGCAAAGGTAACAGTGAAAGTAAAATTGCTTAACATATTTTTTTTACAGAATCCCTAAAGAGGAGATGCACTTCCAGCCTCTGGAGGACATAGCTGAGAACCTGGAGGAGTCAGGCAGTCGTCACCCCAACATGGCCCTCTTCAATCGTTTACTCGGCGCGGCCCCCTCTCCCACCGGTCTCATGGGAGGTGCTCTGCGCCGCACCTCAGCACAACTCCAGAGGCTACGCCACTCTCCCAGCATCGATCAATGCACCAGCGATGATGATGATGACAATGAAAGTGTTAAAATAGGTAAAGGTGGGTCTCTTCCCTCAGGGTTGGGACAGGACACTCAGAGTACTATCTGCAGTTTCAGGGATGAAAAGAACCCCACCACACCTCTGCTGGACATTCAGTTTGGGTTGGAGCAGGAGAGCCAAGAAGGGCACCCAGTCGTAAATGAGAAGACGGAGGTGACAGGAGTGGAGGAGAGGATTCATGAAGAGTGGGAGATGATGGTGGAAAGAGAAAATGAAGATAATTTAAGTGAGGGTACCCAAGCTATGTCACTGCTACCTCCACCCCCCCAGTTCTCCAGACCAACACCCATTCGACCAGTATCTGCAATCTCTTCCTTAACCTCCCGTCAGCCCTCTGCCTTCCTGTTTCATCCATCTGTCCACTCAAGTTTGGAGCACTGCAGCTCCCAGCCAGCTATCAACCAAAACAGGGCTGTGCCCACCATTCCTAGACCCCCATTTGGTGGAAGCAAAATGTCTTTCCTCACAGTGCCATCGTATGATGAACCTCAGCGTTTCCGCAGCGTGAGCATGGGGTCAGAGCTCACTGGGTCTTAAGGCTGTGACCACATATCTGTATTTGATGACATGGGGAGAAAAAAAAAGAGGAAAGTCCCTGTGAAGTCTTGACTCATTCAAACCGTGAAACTTGATTCAGAGCACATTTTCACGTATGTAGTTAGTGTTTGATATGTAACTGTGCTTCCACTGTTACTCTGAATTTGCAGCACTTTTGAAGCAGAAGGTAATCATTTTTTGATACTAAAAATAGACGTTCTCACAGCTGTGGTTAACGTTATTTTCAGTGAGCAATAGTTTCTCATTTTTCCAATATAACCCCCCCCTGATGATAAGTGACGTAAACTTTGCTGAATTAATCTGATCTGCGAGGAAAGTTTTACATTTGAAGGCACTTGAAATGAATATGCAGACATTATATGCAAGATATGTAGTTTGTGCTTAGCCTCGCTTAGCACAATGACTGGAGACATAGGGAGATTTACCTCCAACCTTAAAAGAAGAAAGTGACTCCAAGAGTTTATTTTTTTTTAAATCTTGTATCTTTGTGGCTATAAACTATAGTAAACGACAGAATCACATTTGATTAGTTTAAAACTATGAGCCTGACAACATCACCATTGATGAGCTTCCTCATAAAATCCTCCATAGTACGGTCACTTTGGAGGATTTTATGAGGAAGCTGGTTGAGTCAATATGCTAGTTTATTTTTAGTAAATCTAGGTGCTCATTCAACCACAATGCTTTTTTACTTGTGTTGAAAAATATAGAAAATCAACAATATTGATGGCAAAGCAAGGCTAGGCATATCCCCCTACTTTCAGTCTGTGTGCCAAGCTTGGCTAAAACTGTATTTGTCAAAAAATAATTTCTGGTTTCCAGTTCTCCTCACATTATATTTCAAGATAAAGATACACTGTGTGCTACCATCGAAGCATGTATTGGCACTTTAGCAATAACCCAATTAATATGGTGCAAACATTAAGACAAAATAGCTGTTTCCCACGTCTACTTTACTATCTTTGATAGGCTAACTGTTAAATAAAGAATTTCTAATGCAATCTTTTCTGTATTTTCAAAAACTTTATTTAAAAAACGGTTGCATGAAATCTCTGTTCCAGCACATCCGTTTTAATTATGAATCATTAATGAATTACATTTTTTTTCCATATAACAAATTGTTTTTTCATGCTTTGAGAAACAAGGAAACACGTGAGCAAATAAGCTTGAAATCATGCTATTCTTGAAAAACATTCAGCTATAGTACATATAAAAAATGTATTTGAAATAATTCTTACTATGAGTATCAAATACCATTGAAGTACCAGCATTAACCAACAGGGGGAGATAGCAGCAAACCAACCAAAGCTCACACAGTGAAGGCCTTCGTAAATGAAACACAGGCAGAAAAATCACACTTTCTTAAACAGTCTTGCTCTCCATTCTGCCCATGTCTAGGCTGCACTCCTCCATTTTTTTTCCTGCAGATGGAGACCCCTACCTGGGCTGCAGCCGGTAGGAGAGCGCCCTCCTGGCCTGTGTTGACTGTCTCTGCTTGGATAGGAAAGACTGAGCAGGGCCTGCAACTCTGGAGCACTCACATAGACTATGCTGCTGCAAAGCTGAAGACTGCAGGAGGAAAAACCCACTGTCAGCTTTTTGTAATAACAGTGGACTGATACCTGCTATTTCTTAAATGAACCACTTGTGGATTACAGTGTTTGAATTTGTCTGAAATGTGTGATTGATTCTGATTTAGCATGTTCATATTATTGAAAGACATAATGGGAATATTGTTGGCACTTCAAATATTTCTAACTTTCATCTATTTCTGGAAAACAGTTCCTAACTCAAACTGATTAAAAGTTTTAGGGGACAAATTTGTAAAGGATTGTCTTCCTTGTGTTCTTACCATACTTTGCCAGGCTGTAAGTATAAGTTTCTCCTCTTCTTCGTGTCCCGGCCTTGTGTTTTCTCCCTGTAGGTCCTGGAGCAGTTACATTTGGTAAGTATTTTAGTCTTTCACCAAATCAATCAACCACATTGAAATGACATAAACGAAACACCAAAGAATTACCCTCAAATATAACACAGTCTGGACATACACATTGTCACCTCTGGAGCAGCTGGCGTCTCTAAAGGCCTTTCAAATGGTCTGGCCTTCTTGTTGCTGGTCATTATTTTGCAGATGAATCCAAACCGAACATAAGCAAAGAAATGTTTGCGTGGCTGGCTGACTTGTGCACTACAGCCCCCTGACCTGCCCCGTCTGTGTGCGACTCAGTGCTGCTTCTGGCTGTGTTTTGCAGCGGAGGCCCTGGTTTTGTTGTGTGTCAGACAGAACAATGTGGAGAGGTGCTGCAGGCTTATGTGCTCTAGCTACTTGCCAAAGTGAAAGATGCCATCCTGCTGATTCGGGCAGAATCACTGTTTGGCAGTCATTCACCGGGATGGGGTCTAGTAGGTGAACATGATAATAGACATGGCAAATGTTCAAAATGTAGTTAGTAAAGTTAATTTCACAGAGTCCTACAACATCAACATCATAATCTTATAAGCCAATAGAAAAGTATGTCAAGAAATTAACTATTTCTTCCTTTGGTTTCATCATGGCGTTTCCACAAAGCTCTGAGTTGGTATTACACTTGTTTGTCCGTTTAACTGAGTCATTACCAGTTTAAGTCTGTCAGAAATGCTGTGTTTCCCCTAATAATCACTTGGCCATCATCAAAGGACACCAGTATCAGTATACAGAATCATTCAGCATCAAGCGACAGAGAAAATGCTTGGCGACACTAGTGGTTAGCTTTCTCTTGGTGCTCTCTGGTTTCCTGTCTCCAAGAGTTGGTTTATGAAGTTCAACCCATTCCAGTCTTTGTGCTGGCTTCAGGGGAAATGTGGTTTATGTTTCTGTCATTAAGTGTGAAAACACAAGTGTGGGGGAGGATTTCAAAGAAGTGTGTCTATGTGCATGTTTCTCTGGAACCAGGAGCTCTGAGGTCAGAAGGCAGCCTTGTCGAAACTTTCTAAAAACAAGACACACATCTGTTCTTCACCTCCTTGTAAAATAAATGATCCAACCAGCTTACTACATTTGATGCTTGTTTGCATTGCAAATGTGTGCATATGTGTTCGCATCTACTTCAAAAAGTTTATACGTAGGCAAAAGGGCTTATACTGCAAGGCGTGCTTTCACTTTGTGGATAGGAAATGATACGGAAAAGTTCAGCAAAACAGTAAAACGTAAATGTGGGAAGAAATAGGAACTTTCCAAGACAAGTTTCTTGGAATCAGCCTCTTCTGAAACCCTGTGAATGTTTACTCTGTTATGAAAGAGATGCAGATCACAAGGCCACGAATGACACATGAAGCGACAAAGATTCCTGTTAGTTAGAAGGGCCTGAACATCTGTTGTGAAAGCTCCCTCCTATTGCTGTAGTTTTCAGAGCTGCAGTCACACAGACAGAGCTTTCGGGAGATCTCTGATTCTTTACAGTCGATTTTTCCACTTAAGCTCATCATATAAACCAATCTAAAGATTTTTAGATTAGGCAATACATACAGTTAAATGATCTATTCATATAAATCCTGAAATTGTCTTTCAGCACATCTTAGTCATTGTTTTGCAGTTAGACCATACTTTTTTTTACATCACTTATGATAACATCTTAAATTCTGCCCTGTAACTCAGGCCAAAGGAAAGGAAGGAAGGAAACACAGTCAGTCAGTTAGATGTTGCAAATCCCATTTATTTAAAGATTTGAAAAAAATACGATTCTCTTTTGGCAAAATAAATTAAATCAAATTAAAATAATATTCATTTAAAGATGAAAAACACATGTGTAAAATAAGAGCAATCACATCATATATACTTCTATATTTGGTAAGAGAGGTGAAAAGAAAATGATTTGAATGCTGATGTCTAGCAGAGTGTACAGAGCAGTGCTACATTCGAAGGCCATCTAAAAAAATGTGTACTAATGAACGATTAACCAGAATGTCAACACTTGGTAAATGGGGTAGAAAAAAAAAGTGATAAATGATTCAGGATGTGTCATAATGTTAGGGGAGGTCACATGAAAGTGAAAACGCATTGCTTTGTTAAATAACAATAACAAGACCTTTTACATCGACCCAATATTGCAAAGGTATAAATATTATAAAATCTTCTTTGTTAAATACGAGTTAGATGAGCTGTAGTGCTGTGAAGTTGAAACATGAAAAAAAAGGTAATTATTAAAGTGATACACTCTATGACACAGTTAGGCTGCTTAAAAACTAGTTCATAATATGTCCACAATATTTGCTTTCAACTCAGCAACATGCCACTCTTCTCAGTGTTTATTGTACCAATTCTTACCCTGTACTTTACTTTGAGTGTGATTTTTGTCTGGTGTGTGTGTACCTATGTGTGCAGGCCTATGTTCTGTGTGTGTGTGTGTGTGTGTGTGTGTGTGTGTGTGTGTGTGTGTGTGTGTGTGTGTGTGTGTGTGTGTGTGTGTGTGTGTGTGTGTGTGTGTGTGTGTGTGTGTGTGTGTGTGTGTGTGTGTGTGTGTGGCACTCCCTGTCCCTTCTTTGAAAAAAGTACTTGCTGAGCATAAGGACCTGTCTGTCTGGTTCTTAGTTACAGTATTGTGTGTGTGTGTGTGTGTGTGTGTGTGTGTGTGTGTGTGTGTGTGTAGGTGTGTGTGTGTGATTATTGCGTCTGTCCGTCTATCAGCCTCTTTCTGTCTCACACTCACATACAGTTTCTTTCCTGCCTGTCTGCCGTACTGACCTTGTCACACTGTACTACTTGATCAGCATGGTCTGACCCAGAGTAAATAAACTGTTTGTGATCTTTCAAACATTGAAAGTTTTGTCTAGATAGGTGGCGTAGGAAAGACTTGTGACTCAGGGTTGGTTGAGTGTGTTTGTGTTTTCAGTGATCTTTAATGTGTGTTTGAAGCACCCAGCTGATAAGATGTTTCTTAATCGTCTTTATTCCTCATCAAAAGGAAGATTCAAGTTTGAAATAACACAATTATCTTTCTCAGGAT